CTTCTCCCATCACTCGCGAACAAGACCCCGAGATACTTGAACTCCTCCACTTGGGGCAGGAACTCATCCCCGACCCGGAGTGGGCACTCCACCCTCTCCGTGAATCCGCTACCGCTACCAGGTGTGTTGACCCAGGGTGAGATCTAACACCTGCAGGACACCGGCTCTCGAGGCCTGGAGTTCCTGCCATAACCCCACCTCTGCTAAACTCTACACTTGGCACAGTGCAGTACTAGTACTAGTACTGTGCCCCCGGCAACCGTCAAACCCAGGCTTGTCTATTGATGTTTAGTAGTGAGGAAATTTCACAACTGGATTTGTTACACAGGTGATATCCTGTCATGGTACCACACTGGACTTCAGTGAGCTCCTATGAGCGACCCATTCTTTCACAAATGTACAGACCCTTTCAAAAAATTAGAATATCATGGAAAAGTTTATTTATTTCCATAATTCCATTCAAAACATTAAACTTTCATAGATTATAAATTCAGGGCCCACAAACGATTTCAAGTACTTAGTAGTTTATTTGTACATAATTTGGGCTTCCAGCTCATGAAATCCATGAAAACATGATTTCGAAAAATTAGAAACTATAAAGACATGAGCCCAAATTTTACAGGGCATGAATGTTTTAAACTGAGTTTTACACATAACTCATCTACTAACTCAGACCTTCCCAAAGTGTGGGGCCCGCCAGAGCCATTGCAAGGGGGGCGCGGCATGAAAAGGGGAAAAAACAAAATGCTTGGACACTGCTAGCAAGGGCTCCCACACAAAGGCAAAGCAGGAGATGAAGCATCGCTGAATATGTTTCCAAACCAATTTCCTTCCAAGCCAAAGACTAGAAAATATGGTGAAGCACATCTGCCCTTTGGCTTCACCTGCACAGGTGCTGAGGTAGGTCTCCCTGCAGGTTTTCCCTGTCGGGAGCAGCACTGGGCTGTTTAAACCACGGACAAACAGGATCCCACAGCTGTTTATGTTTTTAAACCCATTTTGCACAGAGAGACATTTTTTGAAAAAATGTATTGATGCAATGTTGAATATTATTACACAGGAAAAAACAACTACATGTAAAACAATCACACCGTGACGCCTCTGCCTTTGTAAATAGAGGGACAGTAACTGCGTGTAAACCTGCAGACAGAGACAAAATACTCTTAATCTGACTATCGGCCATTCTGCAATTCATCTCATGTAAACAATAACGTGGCGCACAGCTGACGTGAAAAAGGCGCATACCTTTGACGTTGCGTGACAAACTCTGTATTCCTCGTCCACATGTAAACGCAAAAAAGGAGTTTAAAAAATCTGTTTTTGGTGATTCAAAACGCCGTTTATGTGTGGATGAAACTGCTGCGTTTTCAAAATCACCCGTGTAGGTGCGGACGCAGCGTAAAAGAGTTGGTATTTATTTTCTTACTACCTGCAGGTTACTTGTATTTGCTTAATTGTTTACTAAATGTTTGAGGTGTGAAATAAACCGCAATGGCGCAAAATATGGGCGTGTGTGGTTGGAGGATGTTTGCGAGAGGGGGCGAATATTTTTCTTGTCAAACAAAGGGGGACCCAGCAAAAAAAGTTTGGAACCACTGTACTAACTCAAAGCACCTGCACAGGTTTTCCCAGGTGTCATTAATTTGCTTCACTTTGATCCAGTTGTCTCAGTTAGGTTCAATATGGGGAAGACTGCACACTTGACAACTGGCCAGAGGAGCATCAATGGTACCCGCCATAGGATGGGTAAGCCACAAAAGTTTATAGCTAAGGAGGCTGGCTGTTTAGAGTGCTGTGTCCAAGCATATCAATGGAAAGTCTAGTGGAAGGGCAAAATGTGGCAGGAGAAGATGCACCAGCATTCAGCGGATTATCAGACAGAAGATTCAAGAATCTGGTAGAGACCCAGAAAGAGTGGAATGAGGCAGGAATCAAAGCTTCAAAACCACTTCTGAGCCTGAGCGACTCAACTGGGCCAAGGAGAAGATGGACTGGACTGTTGGCCAGTGGTCAAAGGTCCTCTTTTCTGATGAAAGTAAAGTGTGCCTTTCATTCAGGAATCAAGGTCCAAGTGTTTGGAGGAAGATGGGTGAGGAACCGAACCCAAGTTGTTTGAGGTTCAGTGTCAAATAACCACAGTCAGTCATGATTTGGGCTGCAATGTCCGGTGCAGGTGTTGGCAAACTGCCTTCTTAAATCCAAGGTTACCGCAACAGTCTACCAGAGTGTTTTAGATGACTTTATGATTCCTTCTGCTGAGGATCTGTATGGAGATGCAGATTTCATCTTCCAGCAGGACCTGGCCCCTGCCCATACCGCCAGAAGCACCAAAACCTGGTTTGATTGCCATGCCATCACAGTGCTTGACTGGCCAGCCAACTCACCAGACCTAAACCCCATTGAGAATCTATGGGGTATGAAGAGGAAAAGACCCAGACCCCAAAACAAAGAGCTGACAGCAAGTACCAAGGAAATCTGGGCCTCCATAACTACCAGGCAATGCCACAGGCAGATTGCATCAATGCCACATCGAGGCAGTGGCTAAGGCGAAGGGATTCCCAACCAAGTATTGAAGATTGACATATCATTTTGAAAATACCACATTTTGATTAATTTCAAGTCAAAGTCAAAGTCAACTTTATTGTCAATTCTGCCACATGTACAGGACATACAGAGAATAGAAACTACGTTACTCTCAATCCCTAGATAAAATAGCAAATGAACATTTAAATATAAGAGTGATTAAAAAAATGCAGGTAAAATAATTAAAAAGTAAAAATTTAAATAAATACAATACAATTTGAGAGACTGTGCAGTGGAACTCACTGATGTGATCCTAATTTTTTTTTTCCTGCAAAAAATGAGAAGTGAATGGTGAGGTCTTCACAGTATTCAATTTTTTTGAAATCATGTTTTCATGGATTTCATGAGCTGGAAGCCCAAATTATGTACAAATAAACAACTAAGTACTTGAAATCGTCTATGAGAGTTTAACGTTGTGAATGGAATTATGGAAATTCCATTCAGAATATCATTTTCCATGATATTCTAATTTTTTGGAAAGGGTCTGTATGTAGAAGCAGCCTGCTTGCCTTGGTGTGTGATTTTATGCAGCTGTGCCCATGACAGTGATTGGAACACCTGGTTTGGACGGGCGAGTCAATATAGTGTACTCTCGAGTACCTGAAGCTAGAACTGCGCAGGATGGATCCTCTTTAAGGGAACCATTATTGTCTGGGGTAAAAAGAGTAAAACAAAATTGCATTTATATTTTACATTAATGTAAAATCTATCTTAAGTACATTTCTGCGTACAGTTACTTTACTTCCTTTTTCTGGTTAAATTTCAGTCTAACACCACTTTCTCTCACAACATCTCAGGGACTGTCAGACTACACCAAGTGGCTCACCCACTACTCCACCAAGCAGCAAGGCAGCCCTGCTAAACCTATTACATGCCGGTCATACGCCAGGTAAGAAAGCATGGACACGCAACTGCCACACTTTGGTATAAAATACTTCCCAAATCTCTGACGACTCCCAGGGTGGGACTAATGGGGAATCCCTCAGATGGCTTCAATGGAAAAACAATCGCCATGACCATCGCTAACTTCTGGGCTGAGGTTACTCTGCTGGAGACCCAGACTTTGGTAATACAAATGACCACATATTCTTATAAACTAAAACATCTCCACTCTGTTCTAAAGTATTGTGACCTTTGTAGGTTTTAGTCCCTCATCCACTCAACGACCCCACAGAGTTTGGCAGCCTGCAAGATCTGTTCTGTATCAGCAGGAAGGAAGGGTGTGTATGCAGCCAGCTGACTGAGCCCAAAGGCAGGATGGAGGCGTCATAGTGAGGAAGTCTTTGTCTTTATTACTGATTGCAGGTACCTGGGGGGTCTTCGACTGCTACAGGCGACATGTAAGAAGTTTTACCAGTTCTGCTCCAAACAAGGGTGAGGGTACCTGCTGCTATCAGTCTGTGTAGATCACAGGTGTCAAACTCCAGGCCTCGAGGGTCAGCGTTATGTAGGTTTTAGATGTGTCCTTGATCCAGCACAGCTGATTTAAATGGCTAAATGACCTCCTTAACCTGTCCTGAAGTTCTCCAGAGGCCTGGTAACGAGGTAATGTGATTCAGGTGTGTTGACCCAGGGTGAGATCTAAAACCTGCAGGACACCGGCCCTCGAGGCCTGGAGTTGGACACCCCTGGTGTAGATGATCTCTAATGTACTCTGTGCGTGTCTGCTGATTCATCAGAGCTAAAACACTTCATAACAAAGCCTTGTCTCTTATTGAAAGCAGGTGAAGAATTACCTGCTTTGACATAAGAGCTTGTAGAGAAAATGTAATGAAAAAAATGAAAAAGTAATTAATAACAAGCTGCTAATGTCAGATCTCACATGCTTACACAGTGGAGACTAGTGGACAGTTGTAACACTTACAAGGTACATCTGAAGGCAATACTCAGATCTGATGCTCAAGGGGACCTTACTTTCCTTCAAAACAATGTTAGGATGTATTTATATCTCTGTGTGACTGAAAAGCCAGTGTTGCTTGTGTAACTTCTAGAAAGGTTAATGACGAGAACTCGCAGCTGTTGAGCTGAACCGCAGTTAGCACCAAGGTGTCAACAACGAAACCTGGGATGTGACGTGGACGAGATTTACAAGAAAAGTCTCCACAGCCTATGTCAGCATGGGGACAGGAAGGTTGACTTGGACAAAGCAACCAATGTCAGTCAAAGCTGTGTCACGGCGTGCTAGCCAACCACCCTCTGAATGTAGACAGATTAGTTATACTTCTTTGCTATGTGGATTTATTGGATTTTCTTCATTTGTTTAGTGCCGTTGATCATGTTAGCCATGTAGTATTGTCTCTGATATGACTGAGCTTGTGTAACAGGCTGTAGATTGTATGGTTAGCCTGTTAGCTGTAACTGAGCAAATGTGTCAAATCATTCGTTTAAATATTTCAATGTTTTCAGTCTGTGCAGACTGTCTGTCCTTACAAACGTTTGTGAACGAGTTCACTGAATGTGCGTGTGCTGCTATAACACGGGCCGTCAGTTTGTGACGGCATTTTGCTACATCAGACCGTCGGCACTTGTGTTGGCAGACATGCTGCTATTAGCTAACAGTCCATTCATGAACTGATTGAGTTTGATCATAAAATTCAAGCTACTCCTGGAGTCCAAGAATCCATCCATCCATTCGCTTCCGCTGATCCTTTTCAGGGTCGCGGGGGGCGCTGGAGCCTATCCCAGCTGTCATAGGGCGAGAGGCGGGGTACACCCTGGACAGGTCGCCAGTCTGTCGCAGGGCCAACACACAGGGACAGACAACCATTCACACTCACATTCATTCGCACATTCACACCTAGTGGCAATTTGGATTATCCAATTAACCTATCCCCACAAGCTGCATGTCTTTGGACGGTGGGAGGAAGCCGGAGTACCCGGAGAGAACCCACGCAGACACGGGGAGAACATGCAAACTCCACACAGAAAGACCTGATGGTGGAATTGACCTCAGGACCTTCTTGCTGTGCAGCAACAGTGCTAACCACCGTGCCACCGTGCTGCCTGAGTCCAAGAATAAACATGGAAATACAAAGTCCAGTTTTATTAAAGTACAAATACTCACTTACTTTCAGTAAAACAGACACAACTGTAAACGACTGCATGAGTTCACTGTTGAATTGTCTGAGAGTTCTATGGTTGTAGACAGGGCCGTGCAGAGACATTAGAAGGGGTGGGTACTCAAGCCCCGCCCCCCCACATGTGCCTGGTTGTAGATATGTGGAAAGGTTCAAATGCCACCAGAACCCTGTTAGCTGTTTACAGGTTTGGATCACACAGGCTGGTTTTCAAAGCTCATCCAATGCTCTGCATTCTTCTCTGCAGGATTGCTTTGACAAAGCAGAACTTCACCCTGAAGTACGACACCAACATTCCCCGACAAGTGGTAAGGATCCCTTCAGATACTTCAGAGTGTAACACGTAAACGGTTGTGGCCTGTTTGCATCTAATTCAGTCTAATGATGATGTCGTATATTTGTGTTTGTGTGAAGGGCCTTGCTGGAAGCAGGTGAGTATTTTTGCTTTGTTTTGAAACGGCGTACCATAACTCAGAGGTCATTTTGTGCACTTTGTAATATTCTACTTGTTTATGATTCTCACAGTGCCATCGTCTCAGCTACTCTGAAGTGTCTCATGAAGTTCTACAACATCACAGATAATGTGAGGACATGTGACCAGTCTACCTACACACATATCTGAAATACAGGGTGGCCATTTATATGGATACAGCGTAATAACATGGGAATGGTTGGTGATATTAAAGTCCTGTTTGTGGCACATTAGTATATGTGAGGGGGCAAACTCCTCCAGATGGGTGGTGACCATGGTGGCCATTTAGAAGTCGGCCATCTTGGATGCAACTTTTGTTTTTTCAATAGGACGAGGGTCATGTGACACATCACACTTATTGGTAATGTCACAAGAACAACAATGGTGTGCTTGGTTTCAACACAACTTTATTCTTTCATGAGTTATTTACAAGTTTCTGACCACTTATAAAATGTGTTCAATGTGCTGCCCATTGTGTTGGATTGTCAATGCAACCCTCTTCTCCCACTCTTCACACACTGATAGCAACACCGCAGGAGAAATGCCAGCACAGGCACACATGGAATTCAATGGAAAGGTGGCGTGTGGACAAAGAAAGGCATATTTGAGTTCCTGACTGCAGATCTGGGTCTTCTTCTCTAAAACCGAACTGCACTGAATGTCGTCCTGAGTCACGTTTGTTTTGGTTTTTATTAATGCTGCAGGATCTTCCCAAACCAATCAGAGCCAACTTCATCCTCGATGTGGAGACGGATGAGCTGTCCATTACTGCTGGGCTGCAGGACCGAGTGGTACAGGTCAGTCTGATGACCCACGGTGCGTGGACCTGCCTGTCAGTGTTAACTGTGAAGTGACAGACGTTACTGTTGTGTCTTGCAGGTGTATGAAGGCTTAGTGTACATGGATTTTAGCAAGGAGCTCATGGAAGAGCACGGCTTCGGTACTGACCTCCCTGACAGCGCGCCATGAACGTTATATCCTGTAAAATAAAAGTTGTTACATCGTGTGTGTGTGTGTGTGTGTGTGTGTGTGTGTGTGTGTGTGTGATGTTAGTGCAGGACGTTTGCAGTTCTCAGTTTTTCTTATCGTTTGGATTTATTGTCATTTGATGCTGAAATTGTCTTCGTGTGTGTGTGCGTGTTTTCCATTATCAGGAGCCTACATTCCTATGGACATGAGTGAACTTCCACCGTTCTGGCTGGCCTACCTGAGCGACCCCAGTGACTCTGGCCGTATCCATAGCAACGTCCGACAGCGCTGGCTCAGTGGTACGTCTCCAAATCAGACGTTGTTCTTTTGAAGGCAGGAGGTGTCGAATGGTGCCGACGCTACAGCTGCTCAGCAGATGAATCCTACCGATGGTGATGATCTCGCGGTTTCCTGCTATACTTGGGCTCTGTAGTCACCTGCCGTGTTTCATCAGTATCAATACTGTTTCACTCAGGAGTGAGTCCAGTTCACGTGACCAAAACTAGTGACATTCCCACCACACTCTTATTTTGGAGTAATCCCACTATTCAAACCCATTGCTATAATCAGTGTCATGTGCTGTTCACTGGCAGGAACCATCCTGATACAAAGTCCGTGTTTTCTACAAATAACCCTTTGAAACGAACCAAAACCCTCCAAGCTCAGGTCCAGGTCATCTCTATAGGGCAGAAACTCAGCTTCAGACTTGAGAGGTGATTTCTCTAATATGTTTGTCTCAGACAGTAGAAGCCGAACATACCTGCTGCTTAATGTGTGTGCCAATCAAAGTTGGATTAAAGGGACCAATCAGACAGATTCCACTTTCCACTGTACAGAAATTGGCTGTAGTTGAATTGCAGGCACAGCGGGGGATTCTCACAGGGTCATCCCCAACGATCTGTTTTATCAGACAGCATCAGTAACGTGCCAAAAGTGAAATGAAGCCTCAGCTGTATCCTTAAAAACCATGCTCGCTATGTTTAGGCCTGCATTTCCAAACTGTCGCTCGATGTTCGAAGCAGAAGTCTCTCAGCACGTGTAAGCTGCTCCTACAAATGCTCTGCTGCTGCTCACCTCACAGACAGGATCTTTTAAAAGACGTTGAATTGTGTCCATGGTCTGAACAATAACATGTTAAAAATGACCAGAATAAAACATTTGAGACCTGATCAGTCAGACAGATCCACCCAGGAAGTCTCTGTCCCAGTATAAGGTGAATGGGATTGTTTTAAACTGAAAGTGTGTTTGCCAGAAAACACAAACGCACACCGGTCCATGCATTAGACTGCTTCTGTGTTTTGTGTCGTCCTGCAGGGGAGCTGCTGGTCATTGAAGCCATGAGGAGATTTGCTGAGCTGACTGATCAGGCCAGGTTAGTTTACAGCCTGTTACTCTGTAGCTCCTGTTTTCATGCATCCCTGTTCAAATTCAACTAATTTAACTGACTCATTAAAGTCGCAGGTTACTAAATGTATCCTATGCAGTCTGATTTCACCGGGGTCTGTCGCTTAGCAACACGTCAAAGACACACTGTGTGGTCATCAGTGTTGGGGTCATTGCACATGCTACACTGAATACATTTCTCTAAAGTAATGCAGTATGTTACTTAATTGTTACATTATTTTTGCGTTTCTCTGTAAAATGTCTCAGAATTTTCTGTCAGCAGGACACACACACACACACACACACACACACACACACACACA